CCAAGAGGTCGTGGCGGTTTTCGTGGATCTCCTCGAGGTATTTCTCTTGATTCAGGCTATTATTTTTCGTTCTATTATTTTTCGTTAAATTTAACTTGCAGGCATGGCTTTGTTAAGTGTACTCTTTCTTTTTCAGGCCGTGGTGGTGGTTTTGGAGACAGAAATGGTTTTGGTGGTGGCAGTGAACGTGGAAGCTCTCGTGGCCGCCGAGGGTTTGTTGCTTTTCTTCTGTTTTAGGTCGTTTTGGGGGAGGGGGGAGGCGGGAAGAATCGACCAGTTCTGTTTACTGGGTGAGGTCCGTACTTCCAGTAACCGTTTCTGTGCCATTTTTTCTAACTTCTGGGCGACCTTAGGACGACAGTGAGGGTGCGCGGGTTATTTTTAATGCACCATCGGGGAAGAATAACAGGCTTAACTGCGCGAAACTCTTATATGTAGCAGCGTGGAACTATACAGATTTAACTCCCTGAAAGATTTTTTGTTCTTTTTTTTTTCAGAGACAGTAGATCCCCAAGAGGGTCGCCACGAAGAGGAGGAGGACGAGGAGGCGGTGGTGGAGCAAGAGGCGGCAAAAAAGTTGAAATCGAAGCACATCGGCTGGAAGGTTTGTGTTGTATTTCTTCTGTTATTCTCAACTGTAACCCTGCATTAAGTCGCCCAAAAAATTACTCAAAATTACCCCAAAAATTACTCAAAAAAATTACCCAAAAAATTACAAAAAATTACTCAATTGTGTATGAGGAATCGGCCAAAAAAAAGAAAATTATATTTATTGTTCGATTTGAAAAATAATTTTACAAAAAATCTGTTTAACAAATAAACTACAGAATGCACTTTCATTAGTTTCGATGATAAACTGGTGCTAGCGCATGCCAAATAATCAAAACCCCTCGTTTTTAAGCAGTTCTTGACGGGGCTCCATTGAAAATTTTGCAATCGGATGGTTGCTGTTGGTATTTTGCTACCGGTCAGACTACTTCAGAGAGCCTCAGTTCATAAGAGGAAACATATGCGGAGCGTTTTTTCGCCGCCTTTGACAAAAACTGCGAAAAAAGTCAAGAATATCAAGACCCCCCGAGCTGTGAGTTTGGATTTCCCGGGTTAACGATGTTACTGGGACAGTTCTAAACGCTAAGCATAGCTATTCCAGGCATTTCGAGAACGAAAATACATTTTAAAAAGAGGCGAATTTCAGGTGTTTTTATCACACGAACCAATCAGGACCTGCTGGCCACTCGAAATTTGGTTGTTGGTGAATCGGTGTACGGCGAGAAGCGCGTTTCGGTGGGTGAGGGAACAGAAAAAATCGAGTATCGTATTTGGAATCCATTCCGGTCCAAATTGGGCGCCGCAATTCTGGCTGGTCTGGACGACCCGCACATTGGGCCCGGCACGAAACTGCTGTATTTGGGTGCTGCATCCGGCACCACAGTCTCGCACTGCTCCGATATTGTTGGCCCGGTAAGGGTGTATCATTCATTTTACAAGTTGGCATATTGCCAAGTAGTATATTCGAGTTCGAATATTGGCTAAATTCATCAAAGAATTAATCTGTTGATGGCAGTCTACGAGTCGGGGAGATAACGCATGCACAGGGAATATTTCTACACAGTTTCAGCCCCTTACCTTGTCTGGTTCCCGAGATCGCTTTCCCACTTTAGCTTTCCTTTAAGGCAACTTCCGGAGGAGAAAATAACCTTTAGAGCGGGTAGTCTTTTTTTTTACAAAATGCTGTCGTTTGGAACACTTCTAGTACTTCCGCATCTAACAGAGGCTGAGGCATGGCGATTTTCCACTTCTTTTAAAGTACGGGCATTGCTTTTATAAGTTATCTGTTCAGGATGGAGTAGTTTATGCGGTGGAATTTTCACATCGATCTGGACGAGATCTGTTGAATATTGCCAAAAAAAGGCCAAATATTATTCCGATTGTCGAGGACGCACGCCATCCGCTGAAGTACAGAATGATTGTTGGTGAGGATTACACAGATTTATCGCCAAATTTACTGGCTCTATTTTTAATCCGGGTGAAAGCAGCATCTCTCACCGGCTCAGTTTTTGGCTAGCTCTAACAGTTCTGTGAAAATATTTTTGTTTTCCCCCGTATATGTTTTGCTTTTTTTGTTTTCATAATGATTTAGAGGTACTCATTCTGTTGTTCCACCATTTTTCCCTTTACACTCAGCCAATTTTTATCCATCCTCATTGTTTTTAAACGAAATTACCGGATATGTGGGCCCCGGTTTTACAGAATTTTGGTCATGCTGAATACTGCTTCGATGTGCGTAAAAGCTGGCTTTATCCTGTTGTAGCGTAGAGCGTAGGGCTGTTTCGTCCTGGGCTAATTCTGTGCTGTTTTTTCAGGTTTGGTTGATACGATATTCTCGGATGTGGCGCAGCCTGATCAGGCTCGAATTGTTGCCATGAATGCTGGCTATTACTTGAAAAATGGTGGCCATGCTGTGATGTCAATCAAA